AAAAAAAAAAAAAAAAAAAAAAAAAAAAAAAAGGAAAGAAAAGAAAAGAACTATCCACAAGGGCTCATCTTACCAAGCCCATGCGGCTGAATGGTACACACATGTGACTGCTACTAAACAAACCACGTGCTCGAGTCCTGATCCAGAGTCCCGACTGCAAATAGAAACGACAGGGTGTTTTTTTCATAATAATTCAATGGGGTGCTGCAAATAGAGAACTTAAAGAAAAACAACAAAAAACCAAAAAAAAACAAATCGAGAACTATCAACAAGGAGGGAAGCAAAAAAGAAAGACAAGTGGCACTGCGCGGCCGAGAAAGGAGGGGGCGGGAGCGCTGCGGCGCTCTGCGTCGGCAGCAAGGCGCGGGTTACGGGGCGTGGGACGGAGCTATGGAGTACTCGGTACCCATCTCCCTCAGCCTCGACAAGGGGCTGTGTCTCCCTGTGGAATACCAGGGAGCAGGGTGGTTCCGGATCCCTCTACAACCTTCAACGCTCAAATTTCAGGCCCCGTTTTTGGGAAACATACATGACCAATGGCACGAAGAAGGGAGAGTAAGTCCAGTGCAGGGCGAATGGTGAGTCAGACAGCGGCACTTCCGGGAGCAGTGGGAAGGGCAACTGGTAGTGGTGGGACTGTTGTTGTGAGGAGCACAAGCCAAGTACTAGGGACTACCTCAACCGGGAGCGTGAAGACTCGAAGTGTGAGAGACCTGAAGCTCTACAGGACGACGTCACCTTTGGGAAGTGCGAGTTTCACTGGTGGCCGTGGAGTGTGAGAAGACCTGAAGCTCTACAGGACGACGTCACCTTTGGGAAGTGGGAGTTTCACTGGTGGCCGTGGGAGCGTTTCCAGTGGTGCAAAGGGAGCAGAGCATTAGTCTCGACCGGAGGTCACGATGACACGTAGAGACGTTCACTGTATCTACCCTTCCCTGCTTTAGGTATACCAGCTCCTTCTTATCTGAGCCGTTTCTTTGTTCCCTTGAACGTGGAATTATTTTCCCTTCTTTATGGTAGGCCCAAAACTTGCCTATTACTAGGCTATTAGTATTGCATCGGCTCCTCAGAATTCTTAATCCTGGATAACTCCGACTGCTGCCCCCTCACTGATTGCACGCGCTGTTGCTCATCTCTCGTCCTCGCCTGTTGACATCAATACGCTGGTTTGTTTGCACGCAGCATTTAGCACGAATAAACAAGGGATTTAGCATCTTCGATTTTATACGGTCCACAGGCTGAGCTCTAGGCAATTTGTATCTCACCGAATTCATAGGCCTGTTTCCTGTTTCTCCTCTAGCTTGGGCTGTAGTGTAGTTCTCTTCACGTTTTGCATCTGACCGGACTTACAGACCAGATCCCTGCTCCCCTCTATCTCCAGGCTCTAGCTGTACCACACTCGCTAGCACACCCCTCTCCATTGAAGGAACAAAATGTTTGTCGGAGGTTGGCTTCACTACGGTGTGAACTTTGAGTGTTGCTACGGTGTGAACTTAGAGTGTTGGTGCTCTTTCTGTTGTTTGGCTTCACTACGGTGTGAACTAAGATTGTTGGTGTTCCTTCTGTTGCTTGGCTTCATTACGGTGTAAACTTAGATTGTTGGTGTTCATTCCTTTGCTTGGTTGCCTCTAGTTTGTAACACACCTCATAGTTCCTTGCTAAGTTCTTCTCCTTTGGTATCTATACTAGGCTTGTCCGTAGCAGGCAACGGAACGACTGGAGGTAGTGGGAGACCTACGAGTGGTTGTGGCAGCGTTGCTGAGCTACTTAGGGCACGACCAATTAGCTGATAAAAGAGCAAATATGGGTTGTACCCATTGAGATCTAGAGTACCTGGAATAGGGTACTCCCTACAGAGTCTCAAGGGTACAAGGTGGGAAACCTCGTCATGACGACCCCGGCTCCACACGGCTATTAGCTGGTCCGACGGGCCTCTCTTTTGGTTTTGATGGATCTTCCTTCGGATTTCTGCAAATCACCTGCTCCAGATAGAACTCTGTAGTTTGCTTTAGATCATTGGGTATTTGTCGTTTCTTGGCTAGTCACATTAGGTTATGGTCTCCTGCCAATGTAAGCAAGGTCTCTTCATTGGAGGTAGTCCGAGAACAGTCCTCTTTTCTGTAATATCTTTAAGCGAAGCTGGGTAAGGCTCCCAGTCAGAATAGCAGAATAACTGGTTAATTTGCTTAGTGGTTGCCTCTCTTATTTCTGGTTTTGGAATTTGTTAGTCCAGCTGCGATTTTCTTTTTTGGTTGAAGTTGCCGTACATGGGACACTGGATCCGGTTTCCAGTAAAGCCTAAACTGGGTATTGGCCCCAGGAATTCCGGGTTGAGATGTTGAGGGATTCCCGGCCTCAGTTCTCCAATTTTCTATAATACAAACTGCGACTTCATCAAAAAAAAAAAAATCATTCTTCAAAAAAAAAAAAAAAAAAAAAAGACAATCGTCCTGTCCAGATTTGACAGGTAATTGAATTGGTTGGGCTTAAAGAATTAGCCTTAAAAAAAAAAAAAA